GTACTACTTCCGGTCAACGGAAATTACTCAAAATTTAACAGAAGGTAGAGAATTAGATCTTTTACTTACATGTGAAATTTCATTTATCTATCTGAAATAGTACTCAAGTTATAGGCTTTTGAAAAATTCAAAGTAGAAAAAGTACCACTTCCGGTTATCCGAAATCGCTCAAAAGTTGATACGGATCTACGATTTTGATATAATACTTGTATATGAAATTTCATCAACCTAGCTGTAACGGTACTCAAGTTATCGTGTTTACACACGGACACACACACACACACACACACACACACACACACACACACACACACACACACACACACACGGACACACAGACATACGGACAAGATTGCAAAATTATGTTTTTCCGTATCAGTGAGATGTAAAACGTCGAGATTTGCAAAAATCTCGATTTTTTTTTTTGCACGATTACAAGACTTTCTCTATACTTCGTATATACGAGAAAGTAAAAAACCTCCACGGTAGTACCACTTGGCAAGAGGGGTGTTAAGTTAAAGCAACTGTATAATGTATTTGCTTACGAATAATTGAATTAGAAAATGTTATACATAAAACTTCACACATAATTACTTTATATATACAGTTTGAATCGTGTGATTAATTTTTAAAAAATTACAATACAGAAACAAATACAACTGATGTGGCACCTCTATTTAAATTAACTTATGAGCAAACTGCGCAGTGGTGGGGAAATTTTGACGTCATCACGATGAAGTAGTAGTATTCTTACAGTTTGGGCAATAGTGATTACGATTACAAATTATATGAAACAGTTACAACCCCCCACCCCCATGGACCCTTCTGTAAAAAAAATATTGTCATAATACCACTGCTACTTATTTAAATCTATTTCTGTAATATATATTTGTGTAATATATATTTGTGTAATATATATGTATGTTTAGAACAGTCATCTAAAAACTGACGCTATGTTCACTCTGAGTTGGTTATCTCCCCTCCTCCTCCCCCCCCCCCCCCTCACCACCACAAATGTGTAGAGCGACATTAATGTCACAGCTAGGTATCACCGGGTTGGATAATTGACCTAAAGTGAACGGACAGTGGTGAATAAAGTTGAATCCCCCCCCCAACCCACCCCGAACTGATCTGTTAAGTACATGTAGAAAAACGGGTAATGATGTACCAAAGCACCATGCCGCCAGAATATTAGCTTTGTGAATATTGTTTTTGCAATTACCGGTAAAAAGTTGTGTGATCAATACAGTGATCTAACCCATACCTATCACTATGTTAAAAATGATCTTTAAGAACACAACGAAGCAGTAGTTAATTAAAATATATAATTGAACTAAAAGAACGAAATTAAATTAAACGTAGGCTGTTATTCCGAATGTTTATCTATTAAATCGGAAAGCATGATTTTATACCAACTCTGATTTTAAAAACTTTCATTATGCTGTAATACTTTAGCATTTATGATGACGATATATTAAATTCTGATTATAGACAAAAACATTTTATAAACACGAATAGTGTTAAACAATTTCATTATAATCTGAAGTAATTATTTATTTGTTTTGACATTTATAATTAAATGTGTAGATATATATTCATATTTATATTAAGAGAGTGATTATTTCCCCTATTTCACTTGTCTTAAATAATTTCCCAGGAATTATTATTATGTAAGAATTTATTTTTAAAGAATTACAAAACAGATTGTGTTACGTTAATTGTTTTGGGTTGTAGTGTGTATATATATATATATTTTGTTTAGATTGATACAATTTTTGTTTTGTCGGCCTACATTGTGTGTTTTTTCTTATTTCTTCAGAGTGCTACTTTCAATTTATTTTACATCATAGCGTAATGACTTACAGCTAGTAATTATATATATATATATATATATATATATATATATATATATATATATATATATATATATATATATATATATATATATATATATGTATATATATATATATATATATATATATATATATATATATATATATATATATATATATATATATATATATATATATATATATATATATATATATATATATAATACACGTATATAGAACGTGTAAAAAATTTGGCGCCTTTTTTTGCTCCTTTCGCTCCCCCTACAACGAAAACCTGGATACGCCTCTGTCATCAACATTTCCCGTTGGTGCCCAAGACACATGGAGTAGATGAAGTAGAGTTCATCTGTTTCAGAGATCTCGGCTTCTGGAGGGATAATGTGATCAGCACTATGCCCAGCCGTCTTTGTTAGCCCTAACGTTAATTAGGTACCCATCAGAGCTGAGTGGACCCAGGTAACATTCTACAGACTTGAACCCGGATTCGTACTCGAGACTTTCATATTAGCTGTCTGGCTCTCTACTCCTACGCCACGCCGTCCATAATTTAATAAATAAAATAACAAAATATAATTGTTTCAATTAAAGAAATTAATGTACAATAAATAAAATGTTGCTTCTGATCTCACGAAATTAAACGAGTACCTAAAGAAATGAATGTACGGGTGCTGTGTCCATTCCCCAACTCATAGAGTTCTGGGTAACACCCCCATGATTTGTTTTTAAAGATGTCAACCTTATTTCTCTATGGTCGTATTTGGATTATCTAGAGGAGTGGTTCTTAACCTTTTAGGTGGCACCGGACCCCACAAGTTTCATATATAAGATAGTATTCACAGAACCTTTCTTAATAGTTCTATTCTCCGTAAGTGACGAAATCCGATCGTGAATCATTTAAGTTGGATGTGTGTCTTGACCGAACCCTTGAGACTGACTCACCGAAACCCTGGGGTTCGTTCGAAGCCAGGTTAAGAACCACTGATTAATAGAGTACCAACTGACTCAAATAAAAGTTAAAATACATTTAAGACCGTATTGGTTATCAAGTTCGCTTTTGTTGATTGTTATAAGTATTTCAAAATACTTAACTTCAAAGTATAGGAGGAGGGAGATCGGAAATCGACAGCACCCCACCCCCACACAAACACACATACATATATATATATACCCGCACCGCTTGAGTTAAATTGTAGTGCAGTCCATAAGGATACGCCCGTCATATTTGACCTGATAAACACGGGTCGCCCATCGATAACGTTATCAGTGAGTGTGTGCTCTCGTTAGAGTGTGTGTAGCCAATACAGTATGTGTGTGTGTGTTACCATCACTCTGTGTAATCAACACAGGGCGTGTAAGTGTGTGTGCTATAGTTAGAGTGTGTGTGTTTGTGTGAGTGCTACATCACTGTGTGTAATCTATACAGGGTGTGTGAGAGATTGTGTGGTGTGTGTGCTATCGTTAGAGTGTGTGTGTGTGTGTGTGCTTTCACCAGTGTGTGTAATAAACACAATGTATTTGTGAGAGTGTGTGTGCTATCATTAAAGTGTGGGTGTGCTACCATCACTGTGATTAATCAACACCATGTGATTTTTTTTTAAATCTTTATCTAGTCCAATTAGCTTGTTGTGGGATGGATAAGGTTCGTTCATTGGTCAATCCAGTTGTACACAATAATCTGGTCAGTCCTGTAAAACCCACTGTGTACCTGTTTTAATCAACTACCAAAAAAACCCATCGTCAGGCTCTGCGTTCATCATTGTCGGTCTTAGGCCAAGTGCACTTGTGTTTGGGCCAGTTTGATAAGAAATCTAAAGCATTGATAAAACGTTAAATGGATTGTTGACAAATTGTGTGCGCGCGTGTGTGCGTGTGTGCGTGTGTGTGTGTGTGCATGTGGGTGTGTGTGCGTGCGTGCATGTGTATGTGTGTGTGTGTGTAGTTAGTTAGTCCGCGTCAAGATTCAGAAGTTGGGTCAGGTTCGATAAGGTGTAACAAATTATAGGTCGTGGGCCTTGTGCAATGAATTTCCCAAACGGGCGTGGTTTAATCAGATTGAAAACAACAAACTCAAACTGTTTTATCTTTGAGATTTCTATTTTGGCCTTACATGTCAGGATATTTACGGGATAGCTTGTCTCAGGATATTTTACGGGATAAATGGTCACAGGATATCTCCGCGGATAGGTAAGGTGAGTTATCTACAGGTGTATTTAACAGGTGTTGTAGGTCGTGTAGGTTATCGTTTCCTGTCTCTGGTCTGTTACTATCTCTGTCCCAGCGTTAATCCTAGGCGAGACACTAAATCTAATGCTCGAATCGATACTTCTCGAAAGTGTGAAAACACAACACTAAAAAAAAAAACTAGCCATTAGTCACTCAGTTATTAACTTAAAACTTTTAACAAACTTTATTAGGGCAGACTTCGTAGATGAAATCTTGGATATAAAACACACACACACACACACACACATATATATATATATATATATATATATATATATATATATATATATATATATATATATATATATATATATATATATAAAGAATGGGCTGATACATATGTATATATAAACCGGTAAATATATATATATATATATATATATATATATATATATATATATATATATATATATATATATATATATATATAAAGAATGGGCTGATACATATGTATATATAAACCGGTAAAAAAAAAAAATATATATATATATATATATATATATATATATATATATATATATATATATATATATATATATATATATATATATATCTTTATTCATATGTATATATATATATATATATATATATATAAAGCCTATATATGTGTGTGTGTTAATTGTATATAGGCTGTATAAGTATGCGATGTATAGGCTATATATGAGTAAATGTGTGTCCGTGTTTCTGTGTGTGTTTGTGTGTGTAGAGAGTGAGAGAGCGACCAGCTAGCCACCTCACATAGTTGACCAACAACCCATTAGTCAAAGTCCTATAACATCATGTTCATTCATTTAAAACAAAATTCCGCACAACTTTTTAAATGTCAGTGAACCCTTGCGGCGCCGCGTGCTGGCTAAATATTGCAGGGGAAGATTACCTAATACCGCGTTTACACTTGTGACATGTATACTATACATTTCTAGAAAAAAAAAACTTCGCAATAAGTGAGTAGGCTCCCCTATTATCATAGGCCCTATAGCAAAGTTTTTTTTTCTAGACGTGTATAGTATACATGTCGCAATTGTAAACGCGGTATAAGTCTTCACTAGGATCAAACACTATCATAAACCTTCAGCTAACCTAGATCTATATCTTCAACCCAACCCCCAACCATGTGATGTCAGCACATTTTTAGTGTTCTATTATTTTTTTTTAATCTCACTTCCACATCTTAGAAATAATAAGGTACCTTGGTAGTTCAACCTCCTTTATGTATCCTTTTTTTTCTTATCAGCTGTTTCAAGTACCTTCAAATATTCGGCTGTAAAATATCGCCTGTGTAGATTAGCAGTCTTCAGATAAAAATGTGTAGTCCGGTGGTCCTCACATTAGAATGTGTAGTCCAGTGGTCCTAACAGAATGTGTAGTCCAGTGGTCCTCAAAGAATGTATTGCCCGATTGTTCTTACATTAAAATGTGAAGCAAGTGGTCCTCCCTCACATTAGATTGTGTAGTCCAGTGGTCCTCACATTAGAAATGTAGTCCAGTGGTCCTCATATTTCCATATTGAGCCGTCTATTTCTCAAACCACTATGACTATTATTTACAAGGTTTTTTTGTTCTGTCCTATTAGCTTAGCTTTTTTATCGAAATTTTTTTTCTATCCATAGAACACTACTTTAAAAATTACATAATGTTAGGTTAGGATGATATAAAGTGTTAAAAATGTTGTTCGGGCAAGTGTCCATTCGGGCATTTGTCCCATTCGGGTTAGTGTCTATTCGGGCATTTGTCGCATTCGGGCATTTGTCGCATTCGGGCAAGTGTCCATTCGGGCATTTGTCGCATTCGGGCAAGTGTCCATTCGGGCAAGTGTCCATTCGGGCATTTGTCGCATTTGGGCAAGTGTGCATTCGGGCATTTGTCGCATTTGGGCAAGTGTCCATTCAGGCATATGTCGCATTCGGGCAAGTGTCCATTCGGGCATTTGTCGCATTTGGGCAAGTGTCCATTCGGGCATTTGTCGCATTGGGGCAAGTGTCTTTCGGGAAAACGGCAAATACATTTGAGAGCCGTTGATGTTAGTCTTTGGTATAGTTGCTAGTGTACTCTTGAACCCTCCCCCCCCCCACACACACACAAACCTACACACTCATCTAAGCACATATACACACCTGCACTTATCGATGACAGATGATGCCTTTAATCCACGTCCCTTCCCTCACCCTATCACCATCACCATTTCTCTACACACATTCTATTAACCAGACTAGTCACATTAGCCACAGATCATTAACCTGATTAGACCCGTTGCATTGGGCTAATTGAATCGGAAATTAACACGTTTTTCAAACCAACAGCCGTCGATTTGTTTAGATCTATAATTTCTTTTGTTAAACAAAACGAATGTTCGCCATTTAATTCGTTACCCCCGTCATCCCCACCCCACTCCACTTATCTACCATATGTCAGCTTTTATGTACCCTCCCTTACGTACGCACACAGGTACAAAAAATATACATACTTAAATATAAGCGTAAGCACGTGCAAATGCGCATATGCATACGTACAAAGATATAGACACACAAATATGTAGGCCTAACACTTACACATATGTACAGCTTTATAAATATTTTTATAAATATTTACACAATTACAAGGAACTGTGGAGAAAAAACTGAACATGACCCTATTGGTAAAGAAATACAAAAGCGCAAATGGGGACGGATTGGACACCCCTTGCGTAAACCAACTAGCAACATCACCAGACGCGCAGTAGATTGGAATCCCCAAGGAAAGATGAAATTAGGTCGTAGGCCAAAACAAACGTGGAAAAGGTCAGCTGTGAGAGAAACAGAAGCAGTCGAAATGTCGTGGACCCAACTCGGAGGAATCGCCCTGAACCGAGTGCGATGGAGAGGTGTGGTTGTATCCCTATGATCCACAAAGGGTCAACGAGAATGAAGATAATGAATACGATTGATGATGAGCCATATTTTTGCTATCACCTAAATATTTTTGCCGTCACCTCAATATTTTTGCCATCACCTAAATATTTTTGCCATCACCTAAATGTTTTTGCCGTCATCCTAAATATTTTTGCCGTCATCCTAAATATTTTTGCTATCACCTAAATCTTATGGCCATCATTAAATATTTTTTGCCGTCACCTAAAGATTTTCATCGCCCAAAACTCGCGGACTATTTGATCGCTATCTGGCATCCACACAATTGTATCCAAGATTTCATCTGCAAGTTTAAGAATCAGATCTATGGTCCTGAATACGGGTTAAAGGTCAAGGCTAGAGTTCATGCCAGGGTTAAGATGGCGATTCTACCCCCCCCCCCCCGAAAAGCTTTGATATGCCTTACTGCAGATCACAAGAGTGTCTGATGTTCAGATGAATAGGACGAACCTCCCAACATGCTGGGCCGACGGCCCCATGCGTTCTCACCTAGCTACACATCGCTGGTTTCGTTACAAATTACACATCTCTACACACTTGCCACGCCCCACCCGCCAATCGTGCTGTAATTCACACCCAGATCTAAACGTATCCCATTCGCACTCTTTCGAAAACAAATCAAGCAGCCATATATTATTTATCGCGTCATTTGTTCCGGTCGTTTCTTATCCAATCCATTTTGATTCAATCTTAACTCAGTCAACATTAATTTGATCTTGTCTAGATTATTTGTTGTCAGATTCTCATACTTTAGTTGCCCGTACCAAAATATCATTATTTTATTTACGCTATTACAATTATTTAATTTTATATTTTCTTTACTGTTAGGATTCATCAAAACCACAAAATCTACTGCAAAACCACAAAATCTACTGCAAAACTACCACAAATTACCTCAAAACTACTACAAATCTACTGCAAAACTACTACAAATCTACTGCAAAACCACAAAATCTACTGCAAAACTACTAAAAATCTACTGCAAAACCACCACAAATCTACTGCAAAACCACAAAATCTACTGCAAAACTACTAAAAATCTACTGCAAAACCACCACAAATCTACTTCAAAACCACAAAATCTACTGCAAAACCACCACAAATCTACTGCAAAACCACAAAATCTACTGCAAAACTACTACACATCTACTGCAAAACCACCACAAATCTACTGCAACACCACCACAAATCTACTGCAAAACCACCACAAATCGACTGTAAAACCACCACAAATCTACTGCAACACCACCACAAATCTACTGCAAAACCACCACAAATGTATCTGATTTCAGCATCTAGAACCTATTCTGCCTTTAAAAAAAGCCCAAACAACCATCTAAGATCCGATTACAAACTTAACCGGGTGATAGACACGACGTTACCAAATATGCGAACACGATGAATGTTTTGCCCTTAGCTGCCATTGAAACTGTCAAAATGACAACATACACGGTTTAGTATTACAGAATTTGGAGTTGTGTATGGGAGGTGGAGGTATGGAGGTAGAGTGGGGAAATGTAGAGGTAGGGTTTGATGTGTATTTCTGGAGGTGGGTGGATGTGAAGGTGTGTGGCTGGGATGTGGGTGGGTGGGATGTGGGGTTGAAAGTTAGATGGTGTGTGGGTTGTGTGGGTAGGGTGTTGAGGTGTTGGTAGGGTGTAGAGTTGTGGGGTGGATGTGTGTGGGTGGGATGTGCGTGGGTGGTTGGGGTGTGGGGTGTGGGGTTGAAAGTTGGATGCAGGTGTGTGGGTTGTGTAGGTGTGGGTAGGGTGTAGAGTTGTGGGTGTGGAGGTGGGCATGCGAATATGCCAGAGTTTGATGTTTGGGAGCGACGTTGTAACAATGTTGAATCAGTGTGTTCTCGTTACTGAGTTCCTGTGAGCCTGTGATATATGTGTGTGTGTGTGTCTGTGTGTGTGTGTGTGAGAGAGAGAGAGAGAGTGTGTGTGTGTGTTGAAGAAAAAGTTAAGCCGATTAAACTAATCACTGGCTTAATGGGTTTACTCTTTGAATGTCTATCTGGCTGGGAAAGGGGGGGGGGGCTGCTTTAAGTGCGAATG